CTAGGTTGGGTTGGGTGAATTTCTTCTTCTTCTTCTCTATTGCTTCGCTGGTCTTCTTTTTTTTTTTTTTTTTTTTTTTTTTTTCCTTCTTCGTTGGTTGTGCTTGTTGCTAGGTTGGGTGAATTTTTTTCCTCTTCTTCTTCTTCTCCTCCTCCTCCTCCTCCTCCTCCTTTCCCTTCTTCGTTGCTGGTCGCTGGGTGAAATTTGTCTCTGTTTTTCTTTTTTCTTTTTTTTTTCCTTCTTATTCTGCTTCTTTTCTTTTTCTCATTCTGCTAGTTAGCTCTCTTTTCTTCTTTTTCGTTTTTCTTTTTTCCCTTTGTTTTGAGTCTGTCTCTATTTAAAAAAAAAAATAGAAAATGACATACATTACATACATAATACTGAAATTGATTCATCCATTACATTACATTACATACATTAATTAATTCATCACATACATTACATTCATTATACTAAAATTGTTTTTCTATTATTTATTTTTTGTGTTGTGTAGTAAGTACTAAGTAGAAAATGACATCTGAAAGTAATAGAAAAGATCCGACGTAACAATATGCCCATTTGGTAGAGGAGAATAATTTAAATAAGTCTGAGTGTAATTTTTGTAGTAAAGTATCAAATGGAGGTGTTTATCGGGTGAAACAACACCTCGCGGGAGGTTATAGGAATGTCATTGCTTGCCCGAAGTGTCCAGCTCATGTAAGAGAAGAGATTAGAGAGTTCATGTCAAAAAAGAAGACACAAAAAGAAGAAATGAACATGTTGTCTAATTTCGATGACATGGACATGGAAAATGAAGATGAAGATGATGTTGAGATCAATGTCAATCAATGCCGTAAGTTGACAGGTAGCAGCCAAGGTTCATCCAAATCCAAATCCAAATCAAAAATGCCAAAGAGAAAAGGACCTATGGATGTTTACTTCACACCCAATCCTGAATCAGTGGTGAAAAATCAAAGAGATCAAGCAAAAGGGAAGCAAACCAAAATTGATGCAAATGACCCTTACAAAAAAGAAATGAGTGCTCGGGCAGTGCAAAGATTTGCAAGATGGATGTATAATGCTGATATCCCTTTTAATGCAGTAAATTATGAGAGTTTTGGACCAATGATTGAAGCCATTGGACAATATGGTCCTGGTATAAAGTCACCAACTTACCATGAAGAACGGGTTACCCAACTCAAAAAAGAAGTGAAACATACTGAAGATTTGATGAAGAATCATAAAGAGGATTGTGCAAAATACGGGTGCTCCATAATGGCTGATGGCTGGACTAATAAGAGAGGAAGGGCATTGATTAACTTTTTAGTTAATTGTCCAAGAGGAACCATGTTTGTTGAGTCGGTTGATGCTTCTAACTATTCAAAGGATGGGCAAAAGCTATTTGAATTACTAGACAAGTTTGTGGAGAAAGTTGGAAAAGAGAATGTGGCGCAAGTTATCACTGATAGTGTGCTGCAGCTAATGTGTTGGCCGGTAAGAATATTTCTTCATTCCTTGCATCAAAATTGTTTACTCATAGTTTGTTTTGTATTTAAAAACTTGAAAATAATAATTCTTCGTTATTGTCACATTAGAGGGAGGTTTTTGGAAGCCAAGTATGAACACTTGTATTGGACACCATGTGCTGCTCATTGCTTGGACTTGATGTTAGAAGACATTTTCAAGATACCTAGACTGAAAAAGACATTTGAAAGGGGTATTGCAGTACATGGCTACATTTACAATCGGCCTACGTTGCTAAACATGATGAGGCGCTATACAAATTTGAAGAATTTGATCAAGCCTGCAAAAACTAGATTTGCAACCGCTTTTTTGACTTTGTCTAGGATGCATCAACAAAAAAACAATTTGAGAAAGATGGTCACCTCCGAAGACTGGACCTCAAGCAAATGGGCAAAGGAGCCACAAGATAAAAGAATGGCACAAACTTTGTTGATGCCTTCATTTTGGAATACTGTTGTGTTTGCCCTTAAGATCTCAGGTCCTCTCGTCAAAGTGCTTAGATTGGTTGATACCGAGAAGAAACCTCCCATGGGATACATTTATGAGGCAATGGATAGGGCAAAAGAATGCATTGCAAGTTCATTTGATCATAAAGAAGAGAAGTATAATGAAATCTTCGAAATCATCGACAAAAGATAGGATGTCCAATTACATTGGCCTTTACATGCAGCTGCGCACTTTCTTAACCTAGAATTCTTTTACCCAAAAGCGTTAGAGGTGCAAAAAGATCATGAAGTGATGAATGGGTTTTATGAATACATTCAAAGGCTGGTCCCGAATGTCACTGTTCAAGATTTGATCACTAATGAGATGAGTATTTATATGAAAGCTGAGAGTCTTTTTGGTAAGTCTGTTGCGATTAGGCAAAGAAATACAAGGGCACCAGGTAATAAATTATAGACTCATAGAGTTTTTTTTTAGTAATACTTTAGTAAAACTCAATACTTTGTAACAATTATTTCTAACTAATGATTATCGCAGCTGATTGGTGGGCATATGGTTCTAAAACTCCAAACTTGCAAACTTTTGCCATAAAAGTCCTTAGCTTAACATCTAGTTCATTAGGTTGTGAACAAAATTGGAGTGTATTTGAACATGTGAGTATTTAACATCCTAACTAATTTTTTGTTCAATTCAAATATTTTTTATTCTCATTATATAAAATTTAATATCTTTTTAATACTTGCAACTTCATAACAAGAAAATAAATAGATTGGAATAACATCTCAATGATTTAGTGTTTGTCAAATATAGTAGAACATTGAGATTTAGGTATGACATGCGCAACACTCTTGATCCCATATCTTTGCAAAATATTGATGAAAGCAATGAGTGGTTGCTTGGGAGGGGATGGATGGAGAATCAGATGAAGATAATGAGCCTGTGTTTGATGATGATGATGGCTTGACGTGGGCCATTGTTGCTAGAGCTTCTGGAGTAGAAGAAAGTAGCCATGCAAGTAGAGCAACAAGTTCACGCTCAAAGGCACAACCGAGGATATCTAAATCATCAAGATTAACTCCACGTCAATTAATAGATGAAGAGGAAGCGGGCTCAGATGACACTGAGGAGGAAGATGTTAAGAGATATAAATCAACTGATGGAGAAGAAGATGATAGTTTGCTTGCCATTGATGTTCAGGATGATGATTGACTAACCGACATAACCTACCCTTTCTTTGATATTGATTTGTTAGATATTTATGTTTTGGATGTTTAGTGTTTATGTTTTTATTTTTATTTTATTGAATGTGGATTATTTTATCTTTGAAAATTGGAATGTTATGTAATATGCACTTTCATGGCTTTGAGAATTATTCTATATTTTGTCTTGAATCTTGATTACTTTTTATTTTTAAAAAAATTGTCTTAGTACTATGAATGATTAATCTATGTAAGTTTTTCTATTTTTTACTAAGACTGCGCCTTACTTCAATAAAACCCGCGCCTCGCCTTGCACCTAGGCCCGAAGAGACCTTCAGCGCCTTAGTGCGTCTTGAGCCTTTAAAAACACTGGGATGAAAATATATATATATATATATGACCTAAAATGTAAGGAGAATGTTGTATTGGTGGAACATAATACAAAAAATGGATCATAACACTCCTTGAAATATGTTTAAGGAAAATTGCTCTACCAATTAGAGGCACCTTTCTAATAGTGTTATTTATACAAGCCTAACTCTATCGTACCACATTTTAGAGTGTGTGTCATACCATGTTCTAGTTCCCGTTCTTCGTACCAAACGATCTATGCTCCAGGTAACATAGCCCCACCCCCACCTCAACCGCTCACCTCTACCCCCCTCCCCACCTCAGCCACCACTATTGAATCAACCATAAACCACTATGAACTCAAAAATCAGCCACCATAGACACCAAATTGAATCAACCACCATTCACTATGATGAAATTAAACATTACAACAACTAGGTGAAGTGTTTGACTCTCACATCAACGGGGTACCATTCCACAGCGAGAGAGAGAGAGAGAGAGAGTGTGGCGAGGAAGGGGGGAGTGGTGGCTGAGGGAGGTAATGGGGAAGGGCAAGGGAAATGTGGTCCAGGGAGGGAAGTGAAGGATGATGAAGCATTAGTGATGGTGAAGGTGAAGAGGAGACAAATGGACGAGTGGGATTCAGGATGATGTTGGTGCATTCATGTGCGTAACGATGGTGCACAGTGGGAAGTTTGACACCATATTCTCCATCCTATTTAGGCATTTTGGCCAACTAAGAAGAAAAGGAGGAGGAAGAAGATGGGGAGGCGATGACAAGAAGAGAAGAAAATAAGGCAAAGAAAGAGAGCAGAAAAAGGACACAAAGAGAGGGAGAGAGGAGGAACTGTTCTTGGCTCATTAATAGCTTATGGAACTCTGTAGCGGCAAGAGTGCAGAGACCAGTTAAGGGGTCGGGAGGTTTAATTTTGGTATTCTAGAAAATTTTCTAACATCATCAAATTTCATTAGTTGACCTAATGGTAGATTGACGTAAGGGATAAGTACGATTTAGAATCGTAAGGGGGAATTTGATTTCCATAATGTGAAGAAGTCAATTGTATTTTAGGAAAACTGCAAAGAGGGTATTTGTAATTTACTATTAATTTAACTAAGTGTACTTGTTGAATGGAAAAAAAAAATGATTCATGAAGCTGAACCCACCTAATTAGAACACGACTTTATTAATTTGGTTTGATGTAAGTAATAAAGTGCAAAATATTATGCACCATAGAAAACAAAATTGGATTTTATTTTAGCAAAATCATTTAAGGTGAAGAATTTCATTTGCCACTGGGAACAAATGCACAAAGGAATCCCCATGCAAATGATAATCACTTGCTGAACAAGAATGAAGGATGAAACATCAAGATTTATCTCATAATAGGTAAATCAACTACTATGCAAAAATATACTATGTATAAGCAATTCTTCAATTGATGGGTAAAAGTAAGCAGTTTGGAAGGAGAGAGCAAGAAGAAACAAAGTGGGCGAAGAACTTACCCTTGGACAGTGTTCAAGCCAGGCTGCTTCTGCCACCCTTCAAAGGATCCCCCGAGATATGAAAGGACTATCTTAAATGTTAGTCTTGCCCACCTTCCACTCCTATCTTTAGTTGAAACACTAGCAGATTCAGATTTTTCAGAAGCCTCTATGATTTCACCATCCTTACAAACAGAATGCATCTGTGGAGAAAGTTCTCTATGCTAAAACAACAAATAACAAATCTTATAAGACCCTCACGGCTCATACTATATAATCATGCAAAATGCATACAACCAGAATTTTTACAACATCAAACACAAAACTTTTGAAATTTTGAAATTGGATACAGAGCTTAATAGCCTTTTTTACTTATTGGAAAAGGAAACTGATTACCTCAATTGATAACGTATGTACTCACAATAATACTTAAAAGTTTTCATGACTTTGTGAAGAAAAAAAAGAAAAAAAGAAAAAGAAAATCAATTTATAAACTACAACAATCCTTGAAATGCACTTAACTACAAGATTTATAGTCTATGAGAGAAATGAAATAAGGTGAGACACTATGCTATACATTTCATCCTGCACTAATTGAAATCAAAAGGAAAGTGGAAGAGTTAAGTGTAAAAATAGTGATTATTTACATGAATCTTGTCAAACAGGTCTATTTCCATTTTTTTGGTAATCTGAATTTTAGTTACCTTTACCATTGAAAGGGTAAAACAAAAAAATATAAATTAATGCAAAACATAAACATCTCAAAACATATGAGAAAAGGAAAGAGTAAGATAGTACACCACTACTAGCAGGGGAGTTGAGGTTTCTGCCGGAGCAGAGTGCAGGACTATTCAATTCAAACCATTGCTTGTTGCTTTGGAAAACCAAAATTCAATTTTCAATTCGGATAAACAACAACCAATACCAATTTGAGACATAAACAAATTGCAGCAAAAGATGCAATATTTTTAAGAAGAGAAATTTGAAGAAGGATATCAAGGAAACCACATTCTATAAATGAAAAAGGAGAAGTTGTAAACGAGCCAGCCACCCACCTCAGTCGGAAACAATGCTGACAATGACATGCGACCGTTAACGACATCGGAATAGTAATCAAGGACTTGTTGCCATGGCCTGCTGTACATGAACTCGTAACATTCCCTGCACCAAACCAAACCACCAAGATTTACATCACTTACACACTTTAAGGTTCCATTTGGATACATATGTATTCAATTTATAAAATTGTAAGAAGATTGATTCATGTAAAATTGTAAGAAGATTGATTAATGGATATAGATTGATAATTCTAAGGTAAATAAGAAATATGCATTTTTGTTTTAATACTTTTATACAAATTGAACTGAACCGTTCATGGAAGGATTTCAAGTGACCGTGTTCACTTACGCTGTGTTTGGTTGAGGGATTTAGAGAGGAATTTGGAAAAGAAAAGGGAAAAGGTATGTGAAATCCGGTGAAAAATAGGTATGTTTTATTCACATTCCACCTATATTTTCCATTTCTCTTTCCAAACCACTCCTCAAATCTCCCCACCAAACACAGCATTAGTAATTATCTCAAATCCATTAATCTAAAACTGTCAAATTCATTGTTAAAATCCTATCAATAGGATATTACAATAAATTAACGTTCTGTTCTGTTCTATTCTGTTTGGATCACGATTTGGACAATGAGAAGGGAAATAAATTAATTAATCAAGCTCATATTTCATTCACAAACACAGCATAAATGATATAGTTGGTTGGAATAAGTGATACCAAATCTATTCATTTCAAATCCAGGTATCCAAGTGGAGCCTAACAAAAAAAAATTTCTTTTTCTTTTTCGTTTTCTTTTTCTTTTTCTTTATAAAGACACAATAGTTGAGAAACTTGCACACACACGGAGCCAAACAAACAGGTGCTATTACCACCAACAAAATCGAGAGAGTGAGTGAGATTGGTAGAATACCTAGCAGTCCACCTGGAGTTCTTGCAAGCATCAGTGTGGTCATAATGGTGATAGACCTTCTTGCTTTGTAAGTGGTTTTCCATTGGATATCTCAGAATCTGTGAGGAGTATGAGTGTGAGGATGAGTAGTAGTAGCACCAGCAGCAGTACCTTATCATACCCTCCTTGCTTTGGGGAGAATTAATCATTCAGTTTTCCCCCACTACAATGTGTTTGGTTTCGCGGAAACCAGATTAGGGCGAAATATAAAAAAAATCAAAAATCAAATTGAGAAAGAGAGAGGCTGTTCTGTTTGGTAATTTTCTTTTTGTTTTTTTTTATATTTAAAATTAATTTGATGAAAATAAAATTATAAAGATATTTTTAAAAAAAAATTATTTATTTATTCATTAAGAAAAAGATGTAAAGACGAATTTTTTATTTTTTTATTTTTCACTAATTTAATTTTGGGTTAATTACAAACACACATTAGAGGCACTCCATCTTGACTGATCATAAAATTCTGGATCCATAAAAGTTTCCGATGATGAATTTGTGATTACTTCATCCCTATAGATGTTTAATGTTGTTATGAGCTGCTGTTACTCTATTTTAAGCTAAAATCATCTTTTGTAAAAGTGATCATTTTACTCGAAACTCATTTTTGGTTAAAACCTAACTTTTTTGTCTGGCTTAGGAGAAATGTTTGGTTGAGTCTGAATCAATGAATATTTTAAAAATCATCGACCAATTTTACGTAAAAATGTTGTTTGAGAGTCAATCGGACCTACTTGGGTAATAAGAAGATCCAAATGCTTAAAACCACGTATTTGTGAGTGCATGCATGCATGCCACACAAAGCCAGGAGGCATATGTAGCCACACATAAGTTGTGCGCTCGCACATGGCTTGTGCAATCGTACAACCTCGGACATCCAAAATTGATTTTGAACTTTAACTGCTGGTGCATTTTGTTAGAGAGGTGCTAAGAGGAAGCAATGGGGCAACCCTAGCACGAGCTATAGTGATCCTTAAGGCTCCTTTTTGCCTATAAATAACTCCTTATCATCCCTCTTTGAAGGACCAAACATTTTAGCAATTTTTGAAGTGTTTTAAGTAAGTTATGGTTGTAAACTTGACCGCCTTACCTCAAATTCGAAAATATAAACCCTAGCCAGGGTTGGAAAATGAACATCTATACCCTAGCCAAAGCTTGAGGGATGCTTTCAAGAAAGCAAAGCTCGCCATTTTCTTTCATGCTCTTCGGTTTGTTTCAAACCAGCAAGTAAGTCTTTTTTTTATTTGATTTCAATAGCTTTTAATCATGTTTTACAACTTTGATCGTGATTAGGGTGTTAGTTTAGCATAAGTCATCATGTAGGTTAGATTATTTGCATGTTTTTTTTTTCTTTGTTTTGCATGGTTTAGTTGAATGTATGTTAGGATTATGTTTAGGTTAGGTTTCATGTAATCATGCATCAAACCCAGTTTATGTAACACTTCGTATTCCTTGGACTAGCGGGATTGCTTTTGACACTCTTATTATTGTATTTGGAGCCTCTTTGATTCATTTTAGAATCTTGATTGAGTTGGTATCATAATGGTAAAGTAGGATTGAACCAAAAATATTTATTCCAATAATTGTCCTATGAGCAGTTTTCACTTTTTTACTTTTTTCTCTTTCCACATTTTGAATTCGGATGTGAGGCTAGAACCATTGGAAAACTTGTTTTCAGGGTTTCGATTTAGACAGAAGAACGATCCAAAACGGAATCTGAACGAGGGAGTTATACCCGTTTGAAATTTGAGTACCTGTGTTGAAAGCAAGTCCGCTCAAGCGAACTTTTGACCGCTTGAGCGGTCTGCACAAATTACAGAGATTCTAGGAGCTTTCTTTCACCGCTTGAGCTAAGTTTTGATCACTCGAGTGGTCTGTTCGAAATTCGGCACTTTAAAGTCATTTTTTTACCCAAACTTTTCATTCTTTCTTCCTCTTTTCTCTCCATCTCCTCCATGCCCGAAACCCTAGACCTCCAAACCTTGATTTCGTTTATTTTTCACCAAGAATCCACCATAAATCTTGCAGTGAAGAATAAGAGAATATCAACATTTTGACCGATTGGATTGCGATTTCTTCAAGATTTCCCTTTGGGTTTGCATTTTCTTGCCTTCATTCTTGAGGTAGGAATACTTTTAACTTGATATATTTATGATTTGATATATATATATGTGTGTGTGTGGTATTTTCTTAGCTATAGTAATGTATGAGATGATTTTGTGATAGAGTAATGCTAGAGACCCCAAATATTCTACCAAAAGTTTTACCAAATGTCTCACATGGGTGTGAGACCCACACAATGTGGGTCCCATGTGGGTCCCACACCCATATGAGACATTTGGTAAAACTTTTGGTAGAATTTTTGGGGCCTCTAGCATTTTTGTTTGTGATATAAAGTGGGTTTGGTGAATATAAAGGGGTTTTACTCTACATTTTGGAAAAGTTTATGCATATCCTTCTTGATTATTGTTAGAAATGGTAAATGTTGACTTTTTTTATGTGTAAAGGAGGGGAGAGCCCCAATTTTTCCAAAAAACCCTAGGTAGCGTTTGGTTTGCCTTTGGAATTATGATTTGAGTGTGGAGTTATAATTTGAGTTTGTGAGGTTTTAAATTATGATTTAAAAAGAGAAAATTTATTTGGATATGAGTTTTGAATTTTTGAAATGAGTTTTAAAATGAAAAAAGTTGTTTGGTTATGAGTTTTGAAAAGAGTTCTCAAAACTTAATTAAAAAACCTAGCACTCATAACTAAACACAGAACTCAACACTCTATTGTAAAATTCTATTCAAAACTAATGACCAAACTCTTTTTAAAATTCAATTCAAAAAAATAATTATTATAAAAAATAACATAAAAATTTATTTGATTGAAAATATTACAAATTTTTTTTTTTCCAAAATAAATATTCACTTAGTGCTTTAAAATTGCTTTTGATTGTATATGTAGTTGAAATTATTTTTGTTAAATATTTTTATTTTAAAATGTTTGTAATTTTTTTAATAATTACTGTCACAATCAGTTGCTATTTATTGTATTGTTATTTTCAAAAAAATGGCCAAATAATTTGTCATTTGCATATATATGGACAACCCAAAAATATTTACAATGTACACAAAATATACAATGAAATAGAAACGATGACGAACTAGGCAGAAATATTTTTTTCTTTTTTTTTTTGGGAAAAAAAATGCTGGGAAGAAATTCAACAGCCGGTCGTCCCTCAGACGTCCGACCCTCTTTGAATCTACGTCGACTACTGTTTTCTATTCTGTTTTTCTATTCTTGTTTGAAGCTGCAATTTTACTACAAAGAATCTCAACATATGCATTTGCTGATTAGTGTGAATTTTATGAGTTTTGAATTAATTATCAACTCACAAAATAACATCAAAAAATATTTCTAACAATCTCCCCACCATGCTGTTTTTTATATGTTTTGGAGCAAAGAAACTCCCCTCAATTTTTTATCCCCTAAATGTTTGCTTAACAATTGTGATAGCATAGATGCACTTTTACCACACTCAATTAAACCATGATATTGACAACAAAAATACTGATGCTCAGGAGTAAAACAACTACTATCACATCTCATGGACTTCATGTTGAGGTATGTGAGGAAAAAAAACCAAACAGGAGCAAAATAAAACAACATATTAGAGAAAAAACAAGGCTAAAAGAAACTACAAGAAAAAATTACAATCAGTAGTGTCACTGTGAGATTATCAACATGGAGAGGATCACTGCTCAGGATTAGGCGGTGGCGGAGGAAAGTGGTACTGATGTATGGCATCCACGCGTGTCTCAATGTGGTCAACACGGGTATTAAGCGCATCAAATTATTAAGAGATGACATTCATTTTAGTGGCCATTTGTTGTTCCCATTGAATGTGTTGATTATAGCGTTTTCCTCCATTGCCATAAAGTCTGTCCAATAGGCAGGAGGCTACTGCTGTGGTTGTGGCATTGCAACTTCAGGATGATGTCGAGGATCATCCATGAGAACATAAGCAGCAGCCATGCTCGCAAGCAAAACATCACCTCCTCCAACTCAGTTTATTGTGTACTCACTAATGTCGGAGTCAATATGAGATGGGGGCTCATTGGCAAAGCTAACTTTGAAGTGTTTGAGGATTTTGGTCAACAAGGCTCCAAATGCTAAAACTTTGTCTCGCGTGGATGAAACTAGTCATTTCTCACATAATAATATAGCGCAAATCAATGGGTTGACCAACCTCAAAACAATACAGTAGGTAAGCATTAAAAGTGAGAACAACATCATAGTGGCCTACTTTCAGAGTTACATTCTCTAATAAAAAATGGTAGAGAATGCGAAGATGTGGTTTTAGGTGTTTGGCAAGTAAATTTGAGCTCATAGATTTACTAATGCAGATAGTAGAATAAGCTTCAGTGACATTGCCCACAATATCAACCATTTGCTGCTCATTTTGAAAATATATTTGGTTATTTCTTTGTTCAACATGAAGAATAGAAGCCAATTTTGGAAAAGTAAACAAAATGAAATTGCCTTTCACATAAGACTCAATAGTGTAGTCATCTTCTTCGACATTTGAATATTTGAGATGGAAATAAAAGAGGGCAAGAAGACGGGGATATACGTTTTTAGGCAAATTTATCAAGTTTTGCCATTCCATGGCTTCAAGTTTGTTCATCAATAGGGCATCATATTTTAGGGCAAGGTTGACTCTTCAGCCACTAATGATTAAATGGGAAGAAATAGTGGCAAATTCAAATTCCTGGTGTTAGAACAATCTTCTGTGTAAATAAAATAAATTGAAACTAATACAAACAAAATAAATAAATAACGTACCGAATTTATTTATTGAACCGAATTAAAAATAAAAGACCAAGTCGAGTGTGTGACACTCTGTCCTTAAGACAGATTAGCCCCGCTACGGTGCTTACGGTTATGTGGCATCTATCTCCCAGGATACAATGATCTTCATAAATTTGTAGTAGCACTTCAAACAAATTTGTCCGGCGAACTACAACCTTGTGTTCTATAACTCTCTGAAATTTTTCCTAAAATAATATGAAGAATAAAGGACGCAAGAGAGCAAAATGATGGCAAGGAAAATGAATTTTCAGAAATCAATCAAAATTGGAATGGGGCAGCCTTTATATAGGTTTTGTTGGCACCTATTCAATTTGAATAGAAAAGGTATGAAGAAGGGACATAACCATTCCTTTAAAATAAAGAGACACCATGAAAGGTTTGCACCCTTTCATTCAAATGGAGGTTTGACCCTTCCTTTAAAACAAAAAGACACCATGAAAGGTTACACCCTTTCATTCAAAATGGAGTCTATTTCAATTTACAACTACCTCTTTATAAATTTTCCAACAATCCTCCACATGAATGAAATTGACAGAGAGAAAATGCAGCAACGTGATGTAAATACAGAGAGTACAGAAATTAGAAATATTCTGCAAAGGATAGGTAGCTTTTGGCTTTGAACCTTCCCTTGTGAGACACTATCGAATTTACTAGCTAACCAGTGAACATGATGTCTTGAACTATTCAGCCATTTGTGTAAACCAAGACAATAGAACTCACACAGTATATCCTCAGACACAGTTTAGTTCTCACTATTGTGTTCATTTTGGCCCTGAAACAACCTGGTCTTTCACGAGTGCTCTAGAGAATTGTAGCCCTACACAAATCTCATAAAACCGGCCTAGTTCACACTCACATAGGTGATTCTTATGAAGAGTATCCTGTCATACTCCACTAGGTTTACCTAGATATAAGAATCATTAAAATTTTACTTAACCTAAAACGCTGCAGACATCACTATTTCATCAAAGAAATGGGTAGGAGTTAGACTTCCCAGTGATCCTTCTGAGTCATTCACAACTCGGTTATCCCTTTGAACCTAAATCTTGGGATCTCCAGTCAACTAGGTTGGGTTGCCGTTGTGGTAACTCTTATTTAATAGGCTTAAATCCCATTCCCCTCAATGAATTCTCAACTAACTCTCTTGCTAACCCTTTGGTTAGTGGATCTACTATGTTGTCTTTAAACTTAACATATTCTATGGAAATAATTCCATTAGAGAGTAATTGTCTCACGGTATTATGTCGACGACGAATGTGTCGAGACTTACCGTTATACATATGACTCTGTGCTCTACCAATTGCTGATTGACTATCACAATGTATGCATATAGCAGGCACCAGTTTTGGTCATATTGGAATATCTTTAAGGAAGTGGCGAAGCCATTCTGCTTCTTCCCCAACTTTGTCTAAAGTTATGAATTCTGATTCCGGACCTAGCAATGCAAGTCTGTTTGGAAGATTTCCAAGATACAGCTGCCCCACCAAGAGTAAAGACATATCCACTGGTGGACTTTGAGTCTCTTGTATCTGATATCCAATTTGCATCACAGTATCCTTCAAGTGCTGCTGGATATCTAGTATAATTCAGCCCAATATTACGAGTAAATCAGAGATATCTTAGAACTCTTATAATTGCTTTCCAGTGTTCTACTCCCGGATTACTCATATATCTACTTAATTTACTTACTGCATAAGCTATATCTGGGCGAGTGCAGTTCATCAAGTACATTAAGCTTCCAATAATTTGAGCATACTATAATTGAGAAATACTTTTCTGTACATTCTTAAAAAGATACAAATTAACATCTATAGGTGTTCTAGCAAGATGATCATCATCTTTGCTGAATTTGTCAAGTATTTTCTCAATGTAATGAGATTGTGACAGAGCATATCCTTCTGATGTTTTGGTAAGTTTCATACCAAGAATTATATCGGCAATACCCATGTCCTTCATGTCAAAATGTTTATTTAACATTTTCTTGGTAGTTTTAATCATATCATTATTACTACCTATGATGAGCATATCATCTACATAAAGACATACAATGACATAACATTTGTCTGTGTTTTTAATATAAACACATTTGTCACACTCATTAATTTTAAATTTATTTGACATCATTGCCTTGTCAAATTTCTCATGCCATTGCTTTGGCGCTTGTTTTAAACCATATAATGATTTAACCAATTTACACACTTTCTTTCCTTTTCCTGGAATAGAAAAACCTTCTGGTTGTTCCATGTAAATTTCTTCATTTAACTCACCATTTAAGAAAGCGGTTTTAACATCCATTTGATGAATTTCTAGATTGTATAGAGATGCAATGAGAATTAGCATTCTAATAGATGTTATTCTAGTAACCGGTGAGTATGTGTCAAAGTAATCAAGACCTTCTTTTTGTCTAAATCCTTTGACCACAAATCTTGCCTTGTACTTGTCAATTGATCCATCCGCTTTTAATTTTCTTTTGAAAATCCACTTGTACCCAAGAGGTTTACAACCTGGTGGCAAATCCACCAATTTCCAAGTGTGATTTTGCAAGATGGATTCAATTTCACTATTGACAGCTTCTTTCCATAAAGGAGCTTCAGGACTGGACGTAGCCTGTTTAAAAGTTAAAGGCTCATTTTCTAACAAAAATGTTAGGAAATCTGGACCAAAAGATTATGAGGTTATCACTAGGGAAGGTTCAAGGCCGAAAACTACCTATCCTGATGCAAGATATTTTCGACTTATACTTTTTCGATAAATCTGCATATTGTTTTATTTCTGTTGTCATCAAATTCCATTCATGTGGGGGATTGTTGGAAATGGTTATACATTCTGGATAAAACTAGAATTTTATCCTAAGTTCGGTCTAGTTTTTAGGTGGGCCCCGTGCGTCGATTTTCACGGGTCAAAGTGGTAACGCGTTCTATGCCGCGTTATGATTCACGTGGTATATTTGGTTGCTCAAAACCATTACCGAGTGAATGGGAAATTGAAGCCAGAGTGTGCTCCATAGAAATAGAGTTTTGGTGGAAATTCCTTAAGGATGTAAAATGGCTTGTCCCACATTGATTTGGTGTGAAGTTTTGAATGGGTTATAAGGCTTGGGTTTGGTACTTGGGGTGTGCCCCAAGGGGTACCCAAGTGTTTTAGAGGGAGAGGTTATGGGCAAAATGGGCTAGACCCATTGGACCTAAAAACCACACACACGTGCACGCCGCCGCCGTCCGTCCGGTCGGGCGGGCTAGGCTGGACCTGGGCTTAGGTGCGTGGTGTGCGGTTGGGTTGGGCTTGTTCGGCCCAATATTAATCTTTTTGGGCCAAAAACATTTGAATTTAATTTTATTTTTGGTAAAATAAAATTCAAAATTCAAAATTAAACTGGTTTGGTTTTACTGTACATCCAAACAGGGCCCTTCCTGGTTTTAAACCGGAATTAAACTGGTTCGGATTTACTGTACACCCAAACAGGGCCCTTCCCATTTTTGTTATCTGTTTGAATTGTAATCCAACAGATTCAAATCTGTTTGAATTAAAAACCTACAGCCACCATTACATCTATAAATATGACAGCCCTTATTTGGATTTTGTAACTCTAATTTTCGTCCTTCATAATTCTGCAAACATCCTCTTCATTTTGCTGCATTATTTTCTTGTCAGAGAGAGTATAAACACTTAGTGTGTTCGTTAGGTAAACAATTTGTAGTGCTGCTATTGTTTGTAGTAGATCATTTTATCCTGAGAGATAGACGTCCAAATTCTGAAAGCACCGTGGAGAGGACGAATTTGTCTTAAGATTGTTGGAACAATCTTTTGTGTAAATAAAATAAATTGAAACTAATACAAACAAAATAAATAAATAACGTACCGAATTTATTTATTGAACCGAATTAAAAATAAAAGACCAGTCGAGTGTGTGACACTCTGTCCTTAAGACAGATTAGCCTCTCTACGGTGCTTACGGTTATGTGGCGTCTATCTCCCAGGATACAATGATCTTCACAAATTTGTAGTAGCACTTCAAACAAATTTGTCCGGCGAACTAGAACCTTGTGTTCTATAACTCTCTGAAATTTTCCTTAAAATAATATGAAGAATAAAGGACGCAAGAGAGCAAAATGAAAGCAAGGAAAATAAATTTTCGGAATCTATCAAAATATGAATGGGGCTGCCTTTGTATAGGCTTTGTTGGCACTTATTCAATTTGAATAGAAAAGGTATGAAGAAGGGACATAACCCTTCCTTTAAAATAAAGAGACACCATGAAAGGTTTGCACCCTTTCATTCAAATGGAGGTTTGACTCTTCCTTTAAAACAAAAAGACACCATGAAAGGTTACACCCTTTCATTCAAAATGGAGTCTATTTCAATTCACAACTACCTCTTTATAAATTTTCCAACACCTGGTTCTATGAGAGGAAGTCAATTAACGGATACTGTCATTCTTAATTTGATGACTCTCCAGCCTCTCAGGCTCTAGGCTTCTTAGTGCGAGGAGCCATCACTTTTTGATGCTAAGAAAAAAAAATAGACCAACAGAATTTTAACAATAACATGGAAATGTTGCATGTATTGAAAAAAAAATCAGGGGTAAAACAAATAAATTTACAAATGATATATTTAGAGCAACATCATGAAATGTACAGCAAGACGCTGAGTATAGAAATTTACCTGTGTTTGCACTCGAATTTTAATATTTATTTAGTGTGATTGTTGTTTGGGACATGGATTCAAAGAATCAATGGAGAGACTGCTTTGCTTGTTTAGATATATTGTAGGTTCAGAGTGCTTCGCTTTGTCAACAAAATGAAGAGCTTCTGTGGGATGCATGCAAGTAGCCATGTGCCTTTTAAAGATAATTTTGGAGAGAGTTTGGTGACCTCATTAATGATACAATCAGTAGTGGTTGGTCAATCTTTCAGAATTGTGTAAATGGTGGTATAAATGATGTAGGTGGGTGTTATTGATCAGCCATAACATATTTATGTATTTGGCCAATGTAGGTTGGTCAATGTAAAAATGTTTGTTCAGTGTAAATGGTGTAGGTCAGTCAATGTATTTGTTTAGTGTAAAAATGTTACTAACATATTTATGTATTTATTTTAATATACAATACAGTTCCACAATTTTTGTGCTGTATTTTTTCTTACATATTTTAAATGTCCAGTGTTACCCAAAACTCAATTCACAACTCTTTTGCAAAACTATACTTACAAAAATGAATGCAAAAATATTCTAAGAAAATTTTGAATGTGTAAAAAACAAATTTCAAAAAAGTATTCTTCAATTTTGTTTTGGAAAACTATTTTGAGATTTATGATTCATGTTTTCAAAACTGTCATTACATGCATTCTTCTATCTTGTCACCTCATTATGGGAATTGTGGAAAAGAAATTGTGTGTACGTAACACGGTTGCTTAAAAAATATATTTACATATTAATGATGAACTTTAATATGTTAAAAAGATTTTTGTACATTTTTTTCATGTACTTAAAATTATTTTTAAAAATTGTAACTAAACTGTTATTTTTTATTTATTTATTTACTTTTACACAATTTACATTGCACCACTGTACCCATCAACCAAAAAAAAAAAAAATGCTAACATTTGTTTCAATGTTAAGCCTGGGTGCAGTGAAAAATGGGCAAAGATTCCCGCATTTTTCTGGACAAGCGCGGGTAAAGAAGCTAGTCCAAGACTACAGGTTTAGGGTAGCCACTTGGAATATAGGAGCCTTAACTAGTAAGACGATAAAATTGGTAGATGTTATGATTAGGAGGAGAGTTGGTATAGCTTGCATACAAGAAACTAACAGGATGAGTGAGAAAGCTAGGGAAATTGAAGATACCGGTTTTAAACTGTATTATAATGGTAAGGATAAACGCAAGAATGGGATAGGAATCATAATTGTCAAGGGTCTTGTGGAGAATGTAGTGGCAGTCACTAGAAAGGGGATAGGATTATGTTAGTTAAACTAGTTATTGGAAGGAATATAGTGAACGTTATTAGTGTATACACTCCTCAAGTAGGATTAGGTGGCCAAACTAAGAGGGATTTTTGGGACCAAATGGATGAGATCTTACAGGAGATACCTGTAGGAGAGAACCTGGTTATAGGTGGAGATTTTAATGGCCATGTAGGCATAGATAAACTAGGCTATGAAAGGGTACATGGTGGATACGATTTTCGTGACAGAAATGAGGCTAGAGAGAGTATCTTGGATTTTGCGTTGGCTTCTGACTCGGTGGTGGCCAATACTATGCATAAGAAGAGGGAGGAGCATTTGATAACCTTTAAGAGTATGTCAGTTAAGAGCTAAATAGATTACTTCTTAGTGAGAAAAGTGGACCGCCTAAAATGCAATGATTGTAAGGTGATTCCTGGAGAGAGCTTAGCCTCTGAACATAGAATTTTGGTACTAGATTTATATTTTAGAGGGCAATACCAAGCTATGAAGGATGTTGGGCGTTGTAGGACGAGATGGTGGGACCTACAAGGGGATAAACTAGAAATATTTAAGAATAGAATGGATAAGGAAGGTACTTGAGACTTGAAGATAATGTTAACACTATGTAGAACTCGATGGCTAATTGTATGAGGAGAATCTCAAGGGAAGTGGTTGAAGAGTCGAAAGGGATGAGACCCAGCTCTAGAGAAACTTGGTGGTGGAGGGAAGAGGTTCAAGCAGTAGTTAAAGCAACAAAAGAGTGCTTTAAGAAGTGGCAGAATGATAGAACTGAGAAAAACCTTAAGAGCTATATATTGGCTAATAAGGAGGTCAAAAAAGTGGTGAGAGAGGCTAAGTTGAAAGCTTATAATGACCTATACACTAGACTAGATAGTGAGAAGAGAGAAAAGAGGGTATACAAACTTGCTAAGATACGAGAGAGGAAAACAAGAGATTTTAATCAAGTTACGTGCATCAAGAATGAGGATTCTAAGGTATTGGTGAAGGATGAAAAGATTAAAGAAAGATGGAAGAACTATTTTGAGAAACTATTAAATAAGGAACATGGAGGTACGTCAATAGGAGAAGAAATAGCCAGTAATACGATAAATCAAGACTATAGGTTCTATCGCAAGATTAAAAACTTTGAAGTGGAGATTGCACTTAAGAAGATGAAATCAAATAAGGCTTTAAGACCTGATGATATCCTTATTGAAGCTTGGAAGTGTTTGGATAAAAAAGGGATTGTTTGGTTGACTTGGTTATTTAGCAAATTTTTTTTGACTAGGAACATGCCAGATGAGTAGAGGAAGAGTATTTTAGTGCCAATCTATAAGAATAAAGATGTCTAGAATTGCAACAACTGTAGAGGAATCAAGCTAATGTGTCATATAATGAAAGTGAGGGACAGGGTGATAGAACGCCGATTGCGAGATATAACAGAGGTGTCAAAGAATTAAATTGGGTTTATGCTTGGCAAGTCAACAATGGAAGCGATTTATCTTTTGAGGAGAGTAATAGAAAAGTATAGAGAAAAGAAAAGAGATATTCATATGATGTTTATCGACCTTGAGAAAGCATATGATAGAGTGCCCCAGGATATAATATGGTGGGTGTTAGACAAGAAAGGGGTGACAAAGGTTACATTGATGTGGTTAGGGACATGTATGAAAGGATGGTGACCACTATTAGATCGCCTGCTGAAGAGACAAATGAATTTCCTATCACTGTAGGGTTACACCAAGGATCTACCTTAAGTCTTTATCTTTTTGCTTTAGTTATGGATGAGTTGACGAGAAATATTCAGGATGACATGCCATTGTATATGCTTTTTGCAGACGATATTGTGCTAGTGGATAAGACTAGAGAAGGAGTTAACACAAAGTTGGAGATTTGGAGAAAAGCTCTTGAATCTAAAGGATTCCGGATAAACAAAACTAAGACAGAGTACATGGAGTGTACATTTAGTAACAGTAACAATGAAAGCAGAGGAGAAGTAAAGATTAAGAACTAAGAACTGCCTAAGAGTGAACATTTTCGTTATTTATGGTCGATTATCACAACAACAGGGGAGAGTGATGAGGATGTAGCCTATAGGATTAAGGCGGGATGTAAGTGGAGAAGTGCGTCTGGGGTACTGTGCGATAAACGAATACCCACTAGACTAAAAGGTAAGTTCTATAGAACGGCTATTAGACCAGCGATGTTGTATGAGACGGAGTGTTGGGCAACTAAGAAACAACATCTAGATAAGATCAGTAAGATTGAGATGAGGATGCTTAGGTAGATGTGTAGCAAGACTAGACAAGACAGAATTATGAATGAGTGTATTTGGAAATGGGTAGGAGTAGCACCGATAGAAGATAAGTTGAGAAAGAATCGATTGAGATGGTTTGGTCACATTCAACGTAGACTAATAGAGGCAGTAGTGAAGAGATGCGATGTTGTAACGGTAGATGGGAGTGTTAGAGGACGGGTAGGCCTAGATTAATGTTGGCTAACATTGTAAATAAAGATATGGATCTACTTAATTTGACTAATGAAATGGTCTTTGATAGGGCCGCGTGGAGAAGAAGAATTCATGTAGCCTACCCCATTTGATAGGACTTAAGGTTTGGTTTGGTTTGTTTCAATGTTAAACTTTTAGTAATATTATGTTGTGAAAAATAATGGAAAAATAACATGAGACAATTTTATGATAAAAAATTTTATTGAAAAATTAAAGTTTAAATACATAATATTTGTCTCTTTGGTCCTGCGGGCAATATGCATATCTATGTTTTCTCTTATATTTCTTTATAGGAGATAAAAATATGTGTACATTTTTTTTACATATGTGTAAATAAATGTGTATTCTAGTCATAAAATTGACATGTGTAGCTTATATGTTGCATAGTAGAATATTAACAAAAAAGTTTAAATTGAAACAGATCGAAAAAATATAATACAAAATAATTTTAAGTTACAAATAATGTGATAATAGGCCGTAATTAAATATTTTTAAAAATAAATTATACTAATTACCATTCTCTCTGAGAAGGTAAAGGGCTTGATGCTCTCTGTTCAATAAGTGACTTTGTTCAATTCTTTTTCCATGAACACTTAAAAAATGGAAAATTATATTTAAAAAAAAAACTATTTACGCCACAAAGTACAATTGCATTTCACACATTATAAATAAGAGAAATTAAAATTAACATACAATACCAACAAAAAAAAAAGAAAGACATACATATCATTTCATAATGTCACAAATCTACCCATGACCAACATGATTTTCCCACATAGCGTTAGCAATTGTGTCCCTCAAGTTTGATTGGTACGTCAACCCATATTATGACATATCCACATACTCAGCTTGGCCTCCAGCAAACCCCTCTGCTGCCGCTTCAACTGCCATTTCATTGTCAGCTTACATGAAGAATGGGTCCATAACTGCATAGAAATGGATCCAATTGTGCACTACACAATATGCAATCACAAGGGATCCTTGTCGTGCTGACTTGTAATTAGGCATGGACTGCAACATTGGAAAGCGTTTCTTGAGTACCCCAAATGTTCTTTCTATGACACTTCATAATGATGAATGTCGGTGGTTAAATGATTCATTTGGTCCAGAATAATGACGGCCATGGAACTCTTGCAAGTGATAGCGTTGTAAACGAAATGGGGCAAGAAATCTTGGCATGTTCGTGAACTCGACATCCACTAAATAATAATTGCCTACATGTAAATAATGTTTGTAACGCTCCGTCAGAAACAAGTACACAAATATCATTTTTTGAAGACTACAGTATGTTATTTTATAACACTAACCATGGAGTGGGTGTGGGAAATGTACATCATCTCTTATAATTGAGTCAACT